CGTACCTGAAAATGTCCTCCACCAAGTGATAGTTAACCTGCTAGCCCTGTTAGCAGCAGTTAGCGGTTAGCATAGCACCAATACCTCATTCACACCAACGCAACTCCGGTTCAAGCTCCGTGCTAGAGCTTTTCAGGTTCAGAACTGGTTCTTCGGTTTAGCGCCGGCTCTTTTCACACTGCTTAGAGTCCGACTGGTGCTGCGTCATGACGTAACCGTTTGCGTGCCTGCTTCATAAAGCCAAACCGTGCGGAAACCCCTCACAGCTGACACCGACAACAACAACAATGGCCGATTGTGGTCCAGCTTCCTCTGTACCTCTGAGACTGAAGACCAGATTCCCAGTAGGTAGCTGGTCTCTTCAGTGGACCACTGCTGCTTGTTAAGTTTCTCCATCGTTGTGTACAAACTGGATAAAACGCCGGCTTTTTATTGTTGTTCAGGAGTTGATCCCTCCCCGCCTCAACGTCAGCGTGCTTTATGAATTAGTGTGATATATATTGAAGTAGCTGTAGCTTTATCAACGTCTGCATGTAATCAACAACTGACTGGCAAATAAAGAAAGAAAGTACAATTCAAAAACAACAATATGTATTGTCAATGAACATTGAACTCTACAGATATACAGTAAATACTGTGGATATGTGTAATGTTCCTCTCAGGCTGCATTTCAAAATAAAATAGAGAACATAAATAAAATAGCTTTGAAATGTGGCATCTTAAAAGTGCTTAATTTAGATAATAAAATAAAGTGTAGCAGCAGCTTGAGTTTCTCTTTTTCTTTGTTAACCGTTTCACATCATGAACTTAACAGTTTCAGACGATTATAGAAACATATCAGTCTTTACACGTCCATAACAATGAACAGTTTTAAAGTTCTCTTTCTTTCCCTCTTTATATGCCAGCGTCCTCCCTCCTACTTTTTTTTATCAGTGCGAGATGAGCTGGAGCTTGCCTCCAAGGAGTTAAAATCCGGCTGAAATGGTGTCAGGGCATTCTCATACACATGCAGTTGCTACATTGTTAGGCCTGCCCTGGAACGAATATTTAGTTTTAGTGTTGATCCTGCTGGACTGATCATATTGGGCTGTGAGACTGCTTATTTTTGTGACCGACCTCAGTTCTGACTTGAGAGGGAATGTTTGGTCAAACACTTTGTGTTTTGTCTCAATAGTGGCGTTTTGGCCACTTATTAAGGAGCGCCACGGTCTCTGAACAAATGAGACACTGGTTCTGTGCTCCCATGGGCAGGATGAACATGAATGAGTCTGTCCACTCAGGGTTAAAAGCTCTTTTCTCACTGTCCTACTTTCCTCTTCTTGGAGAGCGCCATGTGTAATTATTTGTCTCTCCCTGTCTGCCGCTAACACGCCTGTTCACTCTCCTCTCCGTCTTCTCTCCCTGGCCTGTATCGCTAATTATTGTCTTCACTTACTTTCCTGTCCGCTTCTCTCTGCCCCTCTCGTCTCTTCTTCTGTGTTTCTCTCCCTGTATTGCTCACTCGTCTCTTTCGCCCCCTGTCGGCGGCGGTTAAAATAGAATCGCCCCGTCAAAATTGAAATCCCCTATTAATGTATTGATTATAGGTCCGGGTCCGTATAGGTTGGCGCCTGGGTCCGGATCCGGACCGCGGTCCGCCTGTTGCCGACCCCTGCTCTAGCCGGACAATGTTTTGGTGCTTGAAACAAACCGGATTCCGGAGCTAAGAGGCTGCTCCGCTGCGGTGTGAACAGGAAAACCCGGTGCTTTTCAAGCTCCAGCTCCGAACCGGCCCTGAAACACCGTTGGTGTGAATGAGGCAACAGAAAACTAGTTGCTAAAACAAAACGCGGGAGTGTATCTTGTTAGTTAATGTTAGCTAGCTGACATTAACGTTACACATTACACTCGTTTAACACTCACCGAAACATTGTACAGCCGCTCCCGCATGCTGGCTCTAACGGAACCGACTATCTCCCCTTTTGTGTAATAGAAGTTCTCAACATGCCCAGACGTGTAATGATTTTCACCTGGTTCAATACTTTTCACCTCATTCTGGTGTTGGTGACGTGTATTGTTTGAGACCAGAGATTTATTTGGTGAATGGAGCCTGAATACCTGCTGTGGTTTTTAACTGGATAAGTTACATGTTTCACCTGGGTGGTTATATGTAATGTCAGAATATCACCAAAATTACTATGCATCCACTAAATTAAGAGGTCATATTTTATTCCAGACAACAGTGGTGGACAGACTGACAGACCCACATTAAGGTCTCACTGGGATTATACTAACACACACACACACACACACACACACACACACACACACACACACACACACACACACACACACACACACACACACACACACACACACACACACACACACACGAGAACTGGGCATTAGTTAGTGTCCCCAAATCGTATGTGGGCCCCAGGATGTGACCAAAACAAACTCAGAAACACAACAATAAAAGCAGGGAACTAATAATAAGGGCACCCAGCAGCAGATGTTCTTCTGCAGGAGAAATACTGAGATCAGTGTACAGGTTGCACAAGACAAATGTGTCCTAAATGTAGCTAAACCCTTAGAGAGACCACATTACATGATTTCAAATGGTTGAGATAACCGAGTTGCAAAGCAAACAGTGCATTAAAGGAGCAGATTTGAAGAACTAATTCATCCATCTGTTGACAAACCGAACATGGGGCCAGCGTGCACTCACAGCGATCCAATTGGCTTCCTGCCCCCTACGGCTGCATACCATTTTAAGTGTATATTTGACATGCAGCATAAAACCTCTGACTTTACACTGCAGCAGGGGTCAGTCAGGCAAATACAAATCCTTGGTGCAACGATCATGCAAAGACATGACTCGCGATCAATCAGAGCTGTTAGATTAGAGGCGGATGACACAGGGGGAATGAATCAGGCTGGATATGAGGGGATAAGCTTAATTGATCCTGCATCAAGAATTTGATGCCGGAGCAGAGTTAATATTCATCATCATGATCAACACAAATCAAACGTCCTTTGATAGACGGAAGTCACCTTATAAACCAGAGCGTGTCACTGAGACGGTAGCTTGTACAGATAGAATACAATTTAAATAACTGATAGCATTTAAATATAGCCTAATGATTATTAATGTAGAGAAGCAAGCTTTTTTGCAGGTTAATTAAAATGTCTAAAACTCCTGAAGTCCAGGTTCATCTTCCCTTAAAACATTATTGCTTACACAAAATACTCTCATCTCAAAATATTCACTTGTGCAACAAACCACTGTTCCTTTTATTGCAGGTTAAGACAAAATCTTTAAATCTCCTGCGGTAGGTTGCACAAAACACATTAATTAAAAAATATTCCCTATAGTTCAGTTGTTTTTATAATATCTGCAATACTTAAATGAGCCCTATAATGCACATTTTTAGGTTTATATTAGTTTTTTTGTGCTTCTAAAGTGCTGAATCTTTCTCTTACTTCCTGTGCTGCAGCACCTTTTTCACCCTCTGTCTGAAACCAGAGCCCAGTCTGCCCAACTGCTTATGCCTCGTACACACGGGGTGTTTCTCAATGTCGAGGAAGGATGCTCCAGAGCCACTATTTCAAGCATATACTCTACGTCATCGAGTGCTGCCGAAGGACTGTTCCAATGTCCAGCATACTTGGAATTCTACAGAGGCCGGCGTACTTCTAGCGAGACATTTCGAGGCTGCACATGTGTAGACTCCGCGGTCTTAAAATCCCCACAATGCTTTGCACACGGACCAAATTCCAAATCTTTGGCGGAAACCGCGCTCCATTTAAGGCGGGGCCTCGTATATGACGCACACCTGCAGGAAGTATTCTTGCCTCGGTTCAGAAGCAAGTGACTCGGAAGACATGTGCTACCAAGCAAGCGTCCTCGACATTGAGAAACACTAGGGGTTTAACGGTTCACAAACATTTCGGTTCGGTACGTACCTCGGTTTTTAGGTCACGGTTCGGTTCGGTACGCTTTCGGTACAGCAGAAACAATTATCACAAAACATAAAATATATATATATATTTAATTATTATTAAACTGTGAATAATGTATTCACTCAAATAAATACAAAATATAATAAAATAACTGAAACTGAACTGAAATAATCTGTATTTGAACTTTACTGTACTAGTACTCACAAAACATAAACTATTAGTTTTGGGTTTTTGATTCAAAAACCCAAAACTAATAGTTTATGTTTTGTGAGTACTAGTACAGTAAAGTTCAAATACAGATTATTTCAGTTCAGTTTCAGTTATTTT